ACCATAACACAGGTATTTTTGTCCGAAACGTCGCCAGTGGGATTCGAACTCGGTACCATAGTCAAGCTAGCTTGGGGTGCGACAACTCTACCACTACTCTAAGTTGCCATACCCTAGAGTTGCAGGTATATTATATAAATATAAAATTAATATTACTTGAATTATTTTTTTAGATAGATTTTTATAAGTTAAAATTTAAATACTATTCTAAAACTAGAGTAGTTTATCAACAACTAGTACAATATAGTAGTTAATATAGTATAAATAAACTTTATTAGAATCTAGTAAAATACCAAGAATTAATATATTTTTAGCTTTAAATAGCTATATAAATTATACTAGTACTCTACTGGGTTTTATATAAATTTATTTATTATTTACGGTTTTACCATAAAATCCTGAAAGCCATTTTCCCAAAAGGACATAATACTGACCAAATTGGCCAGTATTATAACTAATGCCGGCTAACTTTGTCAGGATTAGGTCCTTTCGGGAATATGTCTTTCGGGATTTTGTGGTAAAACCATTATTTACTATTATTTTTTTTAAAAACTATATATTATATCTGTGATGTTCAACACTATAATAATTTTTTTATGAGCTGCAGTATAATATATAGATCAAAATAATTTTTATCAATACAAAAATAAAATTTTAATTAAGATTAGGGTTAGAGCTAAAAGCTAGGATAGGATAGGGCTTAGTTTATACCAAAATTTTGCAAAGAATTTTTTTTGTTAGAACTCAAAAAGTGGTTTCATAGATGAAATTTTGAGCTATACTCTTTTATTTTTTTTTAAAAAAAAAAAAAATCTACATTATGTTATACTGCAGCTTATAATAAAACTTATTGCAGTCTAGGATTATACACGATATGGAAATGATCTGCAAATTTATTAGAAGAGTATTCTAAAACCCGATTTTAATTGAAAAAACAAAAGCATTTTTATTATCTGAAAATAACTATCAATTTTAAAAAATCCTTTAAATTTTTTTTACAAAAAGTATCCTAAAGCTATGTAGTTTAGGAATCTCTGGGGATCTCTGAGGCTTTATAAGACAGTTTTGCACTAAATAAAAAAGTGTAACAATGTAGTCAATAATTTGGCCAAAATTTGTATTACAGAATTGCAGATCTTTACCAAAAAACGAAATGATTTGCATTACACAACTTTGAAAAATCCCTGACTGCATTGTGGTGTTAAACACCAATGGTGTAATTTAACAATACTGATTTTTTTTATAGTATATATGCAGTATATATATATTTAGAGAATTGTTAATACCACCCTCTAAATATCAAAAAGTGCTCTGAAAGAGGTTTTTCTATTAAGTAAATCCTTATTTTGATCTTAATAAAAGTTGTTCATCAGGTCTTTCCGGTTCTAATGGTAGTAAAATCATCAAATTTGGATCAGTAGTTCCTAAGATATATATCTGAAGTTAGTTAACTTTTATTTACTTTAAAAAAAACCACTGGCCTAATTTTGATGATTTTACTACCATTAGAACTGGAAAGGCCCGATGAACAACTTTTATTAAGATCAAAATAAGGATTTGCTTAATAAAAATACCTCTTCCGGAGCACTTTTTGATATTTGGGAGGTGGCATTAACAAAAACGGGGGTGGCGTTAACAATTCTCTATATTTAATATAAAATATTTTAATAAAAATCAAATAATTTGCTATAATATTTTTTTGTGTATAATTTTTATATATTATTGCTATTATTGCTATATTATTTAATATTTTAACATTGCTAATTTAATTATAATATATTATTTAATTTGACAAATTTACTTTTAAATTTTTTAATTCATTAAATTTATTTTTTAATTTTTTAAAATGACTATTGCTAACTTGCCCCTGGTTAAATCACCAGGGGTGCTATATCTCAAAAACATACTAAGTAAACTGGATCGGGTACTCTAAGTAAAAATGTTCAGAGCCCCTGAAAACCTTACAAGAACCTTATATCTAATACATATTATATTATATATAAAAAAAAAAAATTCTAAAACCGCACCCTAACTCTAAATTTTAATAGGGGTGGTTAAATCACCCCTGGTTAAAAATAGTTAAAAACTTTTAAAATATTTTAATTTAGTATATTTGCTTGGAATTTTTTTTTAAATATTTTAAATTTAAAAAAAAAGCAAATTATATGCAAATTTACAACTATTACTAGAAATTGAAGAGTCATTTTATTGGCGAAGTACTGAAATAAAATGCAATATATAACCAGATTTAAAAAACATAAACCTGCTATCTATTAGGTTATTTAGTTTATAAAATATTTTCAACATACTAAATTAATTACGTTTTAGACAGTCAAAATTAATTTTGCCTATTTAAATTCACGCCAAGAGCAAAGTAATTTCTCCACCCACGTATATTAATAAACATGACACTGAAAATATAAATGCATTTATAAAGCTATTTATAAAAGTATTACTCTAAATAGCTTAGATACATTTCACATGTCCTGCAATTTCAATGACTGCCCTATTTAATCACTAGCTATAAAAAAAAAAGGACAAACAAAATAATAATCTAGGCTTTTATACAAAATGTTCCCAGAGTGGAACAAAATAAGTTAGATTTTGCGATTATTGCGATAAATTTGTTTAAATATTATTATTATTATTATTATTATTCCTAATAAGCGCGTTTGTCCACGTCAGAAAAAGCAATACTGAAACTCTCAGGGTTTTATTTCAAAATGCTAAGCGAAACAATCCTGAATTCAAGTAATAATAATTATATATCAACTGCAATATCTCCTCGTTTTTATCAAATCTAATTTTTTTATCATATATTATTCAACAACAAATCAGAGCCACTTGATTTTAGTAGCATCTAAAATAGCACTAACTAAATTCGGTAAAATTTTCTTATTATTTTTTTTCTATAGACATAAAACCAATTTCAATTGGATTTGGTTAAGTGGTTGTCGTAATACCATAAAATCCGATGGCTCTGCATTACGAACTGAATCAACTGTAGATCGATCACGAGATAACTTCATGATTACGTTACATATTTGATCAGCCACTTTACCTCCTTTACTCTTTTTTCACAAGCTGCTGAAAGTTCTATCTATTATAAACTTTGTAAATTATTTTATAAATTTTGAATTTGCAAATAAACATTTTTTGATAATTCATAAACAATAAAATCCTAAAGTGTTTAAAGTATTACATATCGATATGATTTTACTTATTTACGGCACATCATTTACTCCCATCATGAGCTACATTTATAACTTAACTAAAATTATATATTATATAGCATACATTATAAAATATTTAAGTTTTTGGTTACCATTTAGTGTATTAACTAGTCAAAAGTGTAATTATAACGATAATTTGTATTAAAACTGATACATCAAAGGCATTCTATTTTTTTTTAATAATCTTATCGTAATAATAATACTATTTCCGATGAGGCATCATCTGTTCGTAAAGAAACTTTTAATGCAACAAATAAAAGGTCAGAATATCTTATTACAAATGTAATTTTTATTCATTGCTAACAATCAATCTGACGTTTGCAGCTTTCATTAAATATTAACTCTCATACTTCCTGCGTTCATTTTTAAAACTTAATTGGTTAATTAAGTTTTATACCACGATATATAGAAGCTAATTTCGTATATAAGTATGCATAGCATCGTATGATCTTACATGTCCCTGTAAATCGAATGAAATCAGGCTAAGTGTTTCGTAACACCATATTTGTTATTTTATAAACTGAAAAATTATTGGTTGTAAAAATAAACATGAAAAAAAGATGACGTATTTATGCATATCGAAATTCAATTGTGTTGCGTTTCACGCACGGATATAAAATATCTAAATTAATAAATATTATTCATTCTTTGACGTTAGCTATTATACCAATTTTAATAAGATGCCAATTAATATATTGCTAACGGAAATATTGACTGAAATTTTTGAAAACGTTGAGCCTCATGAATTACATTCGTGTATTTTCGTTAACAGGAGATGGTGCAAAATTGCAATTCCAATTCTCTGGAGATCACCGTTTCATTATTGTAATCTTCTTAGGAATAAATGGAAGTCATTAAAACTTCTTGCAAGAACTTGTTTACTTTGTCTTGGTGAGGATAAAAGAAAATTTTTGATGAATGAATCTATGCCATTACCATCACCACCATACGGTCAACAACCAATTTTTAATTACCCGTCACTTTTTAGGGTTATAAACCTTGAAATTATTTGCACAATGTCAGACGCGTGGGTTATGAGCAACAAAGGAAAGTGTACAAAGCCAGAATATTGTAAAAATTTATTAAGAAAGACGTTGATTGAGCATCTATTAGAACGAGCAGAGATGATTCACTTTATTAATATTGATGAATTTAATATAAAACCAATTATCAACAAAAATGCATTAAATTTACGTAGATTAAAAAAGATTAGATTTTCATCTCCAACAGATAGAAAAAATTCATCTACTACTGAAAGTGTTTCAACTTTTTCGGAAAATGTTTCAATATTTTCAAAATTAACCAATAATCTTCAACATATTATTGTCGAGAATCACAAACGACATGGTTCGTTTATCGAATATGAAAGTGATACTAAAGCATTGGCTGAACTTTTAAGAAATCAAGAATCATTGAAGTGTCTCGAACTTTCAGGATATAATATGAACGTATCATCAATTTTTGAATCATTAAAGGGTAAAACAACCACTTTAACGAAGCTTTCACTAAATAGAGTTGATTTAAACTTTATTAGTCAACGTGCGATTACTTCATGGATCTCATGCGTTAATTTAAAGTCGATAGAAATTCAAAATTGCAAGATAGCCGACGAATTTTATTTCAATTCTGGACAACAAATATTTCCTAATTTAAAAAAATTAGTATTTGTTAATCACGTTACTAAATTTCCCGTAAAATTTATAATTCAAATTATAAAATCCACAAACAAAAATCTCGAATATATTAAATTTGAATTAGAATATTTAACAGCAATTAATCAATTAGGTTTGATTAATACCGTTATCCATCATTGTCCAAATTTGTTACATTTTGATGTAGATGAATTGTTAAATTCACAAATAATTCAAATTTTAGATTCATGTAGGAAATTGAAAGAATTGAAATTTGATACAAGTCGCGAATTTGATAATAGGGCATTTATTGAATTGGCTAAGCATATACCACAAACATTAAAATATTTGTATATAAACGTGGATTGCTATCCTTTTCCTGATGCCTTTGGGATGTTTATTAATGCTTTGAATAATGTTAATCTTAAGGTCTTTCATATTTCTAATGGTGCGGATGAATTGGGAAGTGAGTGTCGATCAATATTAGATAAACGTGGGATTATATCAACTCGAATTCATTCTTATCAACCATTTTCATAAATTTTTATACATCTTTGTTTTTAATGTTTTTAATTAGTATAGTTTGAAATAAAATAATATTATATATCCTCGTTTGTTTTTGAATTGATATATCGTATAATATCTTAAATTTACTTACGTTCTTAGATTTATGTCAATAATGTTATTATTACGCATCGCTCTGGTTATAACGACATTATGGTAAAATCTTCTATACTGACATTTTTTTTTTAGAATTTTAATATGAAATTTCATTGTAACGACATTTCGAAATTTTTTTTTTTTTAATGTCTCGGAACAGTGTTTTTATTGCCGAATTACATGTATTAAAACATTGAAACAATCAGTTTTTACATATGAGTGATGGGACGTGAAAACCTGTAAATCATTTCATTCAATATCATTGCAGTGATATCTACCCCTATAAGAAATAGGGGTACAT